CAGGGCAACCAAGATTCAAAAGACAGCCAAGCCTCTTAACATTGTTTCCCCATTCCAACCATGTCTCAATCCCTGTATCCCAGAGCCCTGTTGTTTCAAGGTTGTGCATACATCATTATTTACCTCTGTCCCACTTAGCCCATGCACACCTGCCTAATTGTTTTCCCGTTACTTAATGACCTTTTGCTTTCTTCCTGGGTGATGTTCTTGATGTCATCACACAACTCCTCTGATCTTTGGTCATTAGTGTCTAATGCATCAAATAGTTCTTGAGATGATCTCTACATTCATTAAAATACTTTTAAGGTCAAAGTTTGTCTCTTGTGGAGTTGTTTTAATTTTCTTCAGCTTCATTCTGAATTTGCATATGAGTAATTGATGGTCTTTTACACAGTCTGCCCATGGCCTTGTTTTGACTGATTTATATATGGAGTTTTTCCACTGTTTTTTTTTTTTTTTTTCATAGGCGTAGTCAATTTGATTTCTGTTTACTCCATCTGGTGAGGTCCATGTATATAGTTGTCTTTTATATTGTTTGAAAAAGGTATTTTCAATGAAGCCATTGGTCTTGCAAAATTCTATCATGTGATCTCCAGCATCATTTCTACCACCAAAGCCATATTTTTCAACTACTGATCCTTCCTGTTTGTTTCTAACCTTTGCATTCCAGTCACCGGTAATAATCAATACATCTTGATTGCATGTTTTACCAATTTCAGACTGAAGAAGTTGGTAGAATTCTTCAGTTCTGGCAATTCAGAATCACTGGCTTTAGTGGTTGCACACATAAATTTGAATAATAGTGGTATTAACTGGTCTTCCCCGTAAGCATATGGATATTATCACAGACAGCATTGTATCTTATGACTGATCCTGATAGTTCTTTTTGATGATGAATGTGATGCCATTCCTCTTTAATTTGTCATTCCTGGCATAGTAAACCATGTGATTGTCAGAATCAAAATGGCCAATTCATGTTCATTTCAGCTCAGTAATGGCTAAGATACAGCCAAGGTATTCAAAACAGGTATTCATACAACTACAAACACATAGACCAATGGAACAGAATTAAGAACCCAGAAGTAAATCCGTCCACCTGTGGACAGCTGATATTTGACAAGGTCTGAAATCCATTAAATAGTAGAGAAATAGTCTCCGTAACAAATGCTGCTGGCAAAACTGGGTATCCATTTGCAGAAATATGAATCTCACACATATATAAAAACTAACTCAAGATGGACCAAATAACTTAAATGTACAACCTAAAACTATAAAGGTCATAGAAGAAAAATAAGGGCACATTTATGGGCTCTAATTTATGGAAAATACATGATAAGACATCACTAAAATTCATAAACAGTAGAAAATAAACTAGATAACTGGGGCCTACTAAAAAAATTATACACTAATGTGCACCAAAAAAAAAAAAAGTCTCCAAGAATAAAAACAGAACCTATAGACAGGGAAAAAAATTTTTTTTTTTGAAAATGACATACCTGACAAAGGACTAATCTAAAAAATTTATACAAAACACCAACAATTCAACAACAAAAAGACAATGCAATTTTTAAAAAAAGGGCAACGGACACAGACTTTTCACTAAAGAAGACATTCAGGCAGCCAACAAATACATTACCCATTAGAGATGAAAATCAAAGCAACAATGAGATATCATCTCACCCTGATAACAACAGCAATGAACAACAACAACAAAAACAAAAAACACAAAATAAATGCTGCTGAAGGTATGGGGAAATTGGAGCTCATATATATTGCTGGTGGGACTGTAAAATGGTACAGCCACTGTGATAAATGGTATGGCATTTCCTGAAAAAGAAATCTCTATTTATATAGATAAAGATCTCTATCTATATACCATATGATCCAATTAATTCTGTTACTAGGTCTATATCCTAGAGAATTTCCTGAAAAAGTTAGAAATCTCTGTTTATATAGGTAGAGGTTTCTATCTATATACCATATGATCCAGTTAATTCTATTACTAGGTATATATCCTAGAGAAATAAGAGCCATGACACAAATAAATATATATGTATACCAACATTCATCACAGCATTATTCACAATAGCAAAAATACAGCAACACCCTAAGTGCCCATGAATGAATGAATGAATGAATAAATAAACAAACAATGAATGATTAAAATACCTTTCTGTTTAGATTGGGTATCATTTCTCAACAAAAGGAGATTCTGTCAAGTCATGTCTATATATTGTTGTTACTGATGTGAGACATTAAGAGTTTATTAATCAGTATTAATGTTATCTGGAGGAAACAGTCGCTGGAGAAGGATGTCATGCTGGGTAAGGTGGAGGGTCAGAGAAAAAGAGGAAGACCCCTAACGAGATAGATTGGCCAGGTGGCATCATTGATGGACTCAAGTGTGGCAGCGGTAGTGAGGTTGGCCCAGGATCGGACATTGTTTCTTTCTGCTGTGCATGGGGTCGCTATGAGTCGGTTCCGACTCGATGGCACCTGACAACAACAACAACAATGTTATTCCAAAGCTTGGGTCCTATGCCTTTGAGAGATTGAGTCCAATTAACAAACACTCTAGTTAACAAAGAGAAAAGCCTCTATTATTAGAAAACTGACTCTTGGGATACCAGCAACAAAGAGGCTGGTTTTTGTTAAAATCCTTTTTATTTCAAAGAGGCTGGTTTTTAATGGTATGCAATGTCTATTTCTTATAAGCAATATTTATACCCATTTTAACAATGTTAATCAGTAAAATATGCAGGTGGACTATATATAGGCTTATCATTCTGACATTTACTCTTGTTCACAAGGTAGTCACAGTGTCATGATAAACACAACGAAAGGGAGTGCCTGTTGCCTAGAATGGTTGGCTGCTCCTTATCAGAAATTCAACAAACCTGGACCAGGTTTGAAGGGGAACTAGGCGATCATTAACATTCTGATAATGGTTACAGCATGTATCTAAGAAACCGAGGACAGGAAGGGAGTTTGTGTATGTTAAGGCAGTGCTTGATTATATTACTTTCAGCTAAAGCAGTTCAGTTAGGTTTTTTTTTTTCAGTTAGGTTTTCAAAATGGCTACATGCTCACGCTCTCACCAAGACAAACTTTCTGTGACTTTCTCCTAAAATAACACACAGCACAAACTAGCCTAGAGTTTAGAATTAGGGATTGAGTGAGGCGGTTCAGTTAAAGAAAAATGACCATGAGACATCTTTTCAGATTTATGAATAGCAAAATAAATGCATGAATCCTGACACCACTTCGCATGGAACAATCACTTATGTACCTTTGAATGCTATTTTGTTTTGCTCTATGAGTTATTGAAAATCAAATTTTTTCTGCAGACTACAATGGATAGATAGTATGGCATTTAACTTTCCATATGTACTTGGGTATCTGAGCGCAATGCAAGTAAAGAGTGCTGAAGAGTGGTAATGGCCTACAACTACTTGCGTTCAAAGGCACAGTGACCCTGTATAGGGTTTCCAAGGAGCGGCTGGTGGGTTTGAACAGGCGACCTTGTGGTTAGCAGTCCAGTGCGTATCCTATAGCGCCACACCAAGGACTCCTGCCTTCATTTTACTGTACTTAAAAAAAAAAAAAAAAGACTATGTGTTGCTTCTATCTTCTTTCCTCCTCTCGGTCTTTCACCATTCCCCTCTTCACAAATGTTCCCGAGTTTCCTGTTTGTAAGCTGGGTGCTAGTTTCCGCGAGTCCAACACTAGGGCAGAGGCGCTCGGACCACGCAGGAGACACTGCAAACCGAGCCGCTACAGAGCCTCCGGCGATTAACCAAAGTAGAATTTCAAGTCTGGAAAGGGGCGGGACCTTGGACTGCCGAGGAAGTTTGGTCCTCATCCTCCGCCGTCCTAGACCAGGTCCGGAAGAAGGTCGTGGAATCTGGCTGCTGATCTTTGCGGGAGATGGAGTTCGACTGCGAGGGTGTGAGACGGCTACTTGGCAAGGTGGGGGATAGCCTGCTGGGCCGGATCTGGGGGCCAGGGCTTGAGGGGCGTCCTGCACGCCCTATGGGCGTCTCTACCCTGGGCGAGGCCACCTTCTCTTCTCGTTTCATTGGCTGTGGGAAGCGGCCCCTAGAAGATTGTAGGGGTCGGCGGCCACGCCTTCCCTCCAGAAGTCTGGGCTCCGATTCCGCACGCATGTCTGTTTTATTGCTCCCCAACCTCCCCTCTGTGCGGTGCCTCCTCACCCTACCAGATTTACTCTCTTCAGAGCACTGTCAGCACATGCTATGCCTTTAACCCCGCAATTCTCTGCCTGATAATAGCCTGCTCTTCTTTTCTCGGAGAACTCAACACTGATGTCTCTTTCCTCTACCAGCTTTCCAGAAAAAAAATTACCACATCGTGGAGTAATTACATTCAATGAATGAAAAGACTAGAGTAGATTTAGGAGTGACGGTAAGGCTTTAAGACCCAGGAGAGATCCTCTTACGTTAAAAAGGTTGGCTGATGGGAGAGATGACCCAGAAGTCTGTCCTACATTTTTTGGTCACCAGCTTCCTGGTCAGAAGGCACTCAAAAGATCATTGACAGGAGAATGGATAATTTGTACTATATTCATAAATGGGAAACAATGTATAGCAGTGAAAACGAACTGTATGCAACAATACAGATACATCTTAGAAACATTGAGTGGAAACAAATTGGAATTTATATTCACAATTATATTTGATAAAATCTAGAAACAATGATTCATAAACAACTTTGTGATCACATGTGATGTAAGCACGGAGGGAAAGAGTAAAGAAATGAATACACAATTCAGGGGTGGTAGAGGAATGGGAGAGGGAAGGATGTCATGCTGTCAGAATGCCATGATGCTAGGTCTGGGCTGTCTAATAAAGGCTGGCCACATTCTGTGGGAGAAAAATGAGAGTGCTTGCTCACATAAAGATTTGCAGTCTCTGAAACCGTATGGTGCAGTTGTATTTTGTCCAAAAAGGTAATTCTGGCTTGGATTCAACTTGATGGCAGTGGATATTAGACTAGTCACAAAGTGGCCATTGAAATTAATAAAAATTAAATAAAATTTAAAATTCAGTTTCTTGGACTTATTAGTCACATTTCAAGTGCTGAATAGCCACACATAGGTGGTGGTGGTTAGTTGCTGTTGAGTTGGTTCCAACTCATTGTGACTCTTTGCATAGTAAAGTGAAATACTGCCTGGTCCTATGCCATCGTCACAGTTGTTAACGCTTGAGCCCATTGTTGCTGCCACTATATCAGTCCATCTTGTTGGGGAGTCTTCCTCTTTTTCATTGACGCTCCACTCTACCAAGCCTGATGTCTTTCTCCAGAGACTGGTCTTTCCTGATTACATGTCTGAAATATGAGAGATAAAGTGTCACAATCCTGGCTTCTAAGGCATGTCTGGCTGTACCTCTTCCAAGACAGATTCGTTTTTTCTCTTGGAAGTCCGTGGTACTTTCAGTGTTCTTCTCAAAAACCATAACTCAAATACATCATTCTACACATGGGTGGTGGTGTATGCCATCGATTTGGTTCCAACTCATAGCAACCCTATATAGGGTTTCTGAGGCTATAAATCTTTACAAGAGCAGAAAGTTTCATCTTTCTCCAGTAGAATGACTGGTGGATTTCAACTTCTGACCTTGATGTTTAACATCCCAGCTCATAATCGAGTATACTTCCAGGGCTCCTTATCACACATGGGTTGTTGTCGTTAAGTGCCGTCAAGTCAATTCTGATTTATAGAGCCCCTGTATAGGGTTTCTGAGGAGTGGCTGGGGAGGTTGAACCAACCTGGAGTCTAGTTGCATTAGCCCATAGTGCCACACCAGGACTCCACAACAAGAGTTGTTGTTGTTAAGTGCCGTTGAGTTTATTCCGACCCATAGCGACCCTGTATAGGGTTTCCAAGGAGCAGCTGGTGAGCTTGAACCACTAACCTCGCAGTTCAAATGACTTTGCAGTCTGACACATTAGACCACAGCGCCACACCAGTAGTGGCTGCTATATTGGGCAGCACAGATGTAGATAATTCTCATCATTTCAGAAAATTACATTGGACAGTCCTGTTGTAGATCATAAGGAGATGAGTTTTCATGGATGTTTATTTTATTGTTACTCCTCAAAATGAGTTGGATGTAGTGATTTTAATCTTCAAGCCCAGGCTCTGGGTTTGAGTTCTGACTTCACCACTTGCCTTGTGTCTCAACACATTACGTTTTTTTGTTTTAAGTAGAAAACATCAGGATCTTATTGTTAGATTCTAGAAATTGCTACGGTTTGATATGAAGAAAGAAGCATAGGCAATACAATCCAAACATGGGCAATACAATCAATGAAGCTTTGTTTTTTATATATATAAAAAGACATTTCACCTATACCTATAGCTTGTCTCATATTATCCTATCAAAGGACTGGAGAAATGGGTTTGAAAGGTTGCAGTCTTTTGATCTTAGATTTGACCTTGTCAGTAGGGGTGCAGTTCTTACAAAATTAAAAATTTGAAAGGATATATGTTTGTGTACTATGCTAGAGAAAACTCACCTAACTATGCGCTGAAAGAAAATCAGAAATTGTATACCAATTTCTAATGTATTTGCTTTTGTGGTAACTTTTTTTAAAGAAAATATGTCAGTCGTGTTGAACAATCCCTGTCCAAAATGACCTGTGTAGTTAGGGGCACCGCAGTGTAGTGAATTATTTAATGTGTCTTCTAGCCATAGTCTGTAACTCCCACTGAGTTTGGGTAAGAGAAGGTAGAAGAAGATGCTGAGATGCTGATAGGATTATATGATTCAGTTGTAAGTTGTTAACAGAGTTATTTGTGGTTGTGAAAACTTTGAATCGTAACAGGTATGAAAATGAGCCAACTCAGAAGCAGGGGGTGAGGGAGAATCTCACAACCATCAAAGAAAGAGTCAGGAATGGAGTCAACACATTACTTTGATTCTCTAACTCTCACTTTAGTCTATAAAGTGGAGCAATTGTAAGCCCGACCTACCTTGTAGAGTCATCCTCATAAGGATTATTTCAAATATTACTCATGTCTGGAAAGCGTGTAAGTGTTCAGTTAAATGTTAACTAATTTTTTTGTTGATCATAGTTTTATTTTATGATCATTTTTCTCTTTTTAGTACAAATTCAGAGATCTAACAGTGGAAGAACTAAAGAATGTTAATATGTTTTACCCACATTTCAGATATTCTGTGGACACCTATGGTAAGAATCATACCTTCTTGTTTTTGTTGCAGTATTTGAACTGTTAGTTATTTGGTCCTTTTGTTGTTGTTATTGTTGTTAAAGTGCCATTGAATTGGTCCTGGTGGTTGTGGTGATGTGCCGTGGACTCAGTTCCGACTCATAGCGACCCTGTACAGAGTTTCCAAGGCTGTAAATCTTTATAGGAGCAGAAAGCCTCATCTTCTCCCGCGGAACAGCTGGTAGGTCGAACTGCTGACCTTAAGGTCCGCAGCTCGATTTGTAACCACTGTGCTACCAGAGCTCCATATTGAATTGGTCCTAGAGAGCTGAAAAATCCATAATTTCTCATTTCCCTCTTATCCCCTGATTTTAAGTTATACTTTGTGACTTTTATTTCCTGGGGAAATTTAAGCATTTGTCTCCTAAGTGAAAGGTCAGCAGTTCGAGCCCATTCATTGTTCTGTGGGAGAAATATGAGGCTGGCTGTTCCCATAAAGATTTATAGTCTTGAAAACCCAACTTTGTCTTTTAAAGGTGCTACGAGTCAGAATGGGCTTGATGGCAGTGGGTTGTTAGTGGGTACATGATTTTTATGACCAGCTCTGTGAAGTAATATTAGTATCTTCATTTTTCCGATAAAGAAATGGAAGCTCAGAGAGTTTAAATAATTTGCTCAACATGACAGTTATAAAGAGTTAGGGTTTGTGCCCCTGTCTGAGTACCCCTTGTGCTCATGCACTTATATATTTTTTCCTCATTGTATGGATTTGATGCATTGTTGTACCAGTTTATTCTTATTGTCATTTCTGCCTGCCTAGAGAAAGTGATCTCTGGTGCCATCAAACCCTCACATTACAGAATCAATGTTGTTTGTCAGTGTACATTTTACTATTGGGAACAATGGCAACCATGTATCACAATTCAGTTTTAGCTTTTGAATAATTGGCACAATGAACATTCATACTTACAGTTTCTCAACCACGTTTCTAGATGTATTTTCTGCCCCTAGCTCATCCACTGCTTCCCTCATTTGAGCTTTTGCCATGGGGTGGTCCCTTCATCCATTGTTGTTACCTTTTACTCATGGAGCTTCAGGTAAATGTTTGTACTTAAGTATAGTCTTGGCCTTGAGTTTTCTATCTCAGCCTGGGTTTCTCTTTATGCTTTCTGAGAGCTCATCAAATCGATTTAGAAATTTTTCTTCCTCTGTTCAAATAGTATAATATCTGAGGTGCTAAAAGGATTACCTTAAAACAGTGTTTTCCCCATGTGACCTAATCAATCAATTCACAATAAAAACTTCAATAAAGATAGTGTTTGAGAGTTTGAAACTAGAGGTAATGTTTTGGTACCTAGTCTTTTACAAAAAAAAAATTTTTTTTTAATTGTGATTTGGGTGAGAGTTTACAGTACAAATTGGTTTTCCATGTAACAATTCCTAACCCATTTTGTTTCCTGAGGCTGATTGCAGTTCCCACAATGTGGCAGCATTCCTTCCTTCCTTCCTGTGTTTACCAGTACCATTAGTTCTTCTTTCTTAGCCATTCATATCTTCTGAACTTTATCTGTAGGCAAATGTTACCCTTTTGATCTTGTGTGATTGATTGTTCAGTATTTAGTCTTGACATTAGGGCACTGATTCTCTACCAGTGTATCCCAGCTATTGATGGGAAGGCTGCGTTTTCAGGGCAGTGAAGGCTGAAAAAGGTTGAGACTCACTGGGTTAGAGAAACTAAAGAGAATAATTATTTACCTTTCTAAGAGGTTACTTTAAGGAGCTCTGGTAGCGTAGTGGTTACGAATCAGCCTGTGAACCTTAAGGTCAGCAGTTCGAAACTACCAGCAGTTCTGCGGGAGAAAGAGGAGGCTTTCTGCTCCTGTAAAGATTCACAGCCTTGGAAACCCTGTATAGGGTTGCTATAGGTCGGAATATACTTGACAGTGCTTAACAACAAGAGGTTACTTTAAAAGATAAACTAACTTTCACTGTAACTGTACCTTAGAAACACTGGAGCCCAGTATGAAAATGCAGCATCTACAATAAAAAAAAAAAAAAAAAAAGACAAACGAATTTTTTTTATTATAAAAGTTTTATAGCTGATTTGTTATGTGACAATTATTTAATATTTCTACATTTTATAATACTGTACTTAAGAAGTTTCACAGTGAAGATCTCATTTTATTCTTTTTTTAAAAGTTTTTATTTTGAATGGAGTGATAGTTTACATGGGAGAACATCAGTTTTACACCATCGTTTCATTGCCATGATTACAATCTCCTCCATGCATCATCATTCAACAGTGTTTGCTTCTAATCCCTCTGTTGTTATTGTTGTTGTTTTAGTGGGGGTGAGGATGAATAAAAAAATACTGAGGAATATATCATTATTTAAACAACCAAAGAGCACATTCTACAAGGCTTCCTCCTGGCCGCCAGCACACAGCCTTTCTTTTTCCATGAGTCTGATCTCATTTTATTCTTATGAAAACCTTGTGAAGCTATTTTATTGATAAGGAAACTGAAGCTCAAAGAAGTTAAAGGACCAAAAGTTATATGCCTCTAAATGGGGAGATGGGCCTAGAACTTGGGACATTGGTATCAGAGTTCCATATTCTTACAGCTATACCCCTCCACCTTTTAAGAAAATGACATCTAGTAATTTTCCCATGTTATTGTTACTTATTGATCCCTGGATGATGGTTTTTAGAGAATGTGTGTTTTAACACAGTTTATTCTACTTCTGATTGCACATTTTGGGGCTTTTTATCTCTCCAGTTTTTAAAGATAGTTCCCAGAAAGACCTGCTGAATTTTACTGGCACTATTCCTGTGATGTATCAGGGTAAGTCTGGAAGTTTAAAACTCGGGGAGTTTTCTTACAAAGCAATTTATTTGTTGAGAACTTGCACATTGGTCTAATGCTATAACATTCTCAAAGTATTTTCATATATGTATGATCTGTACAGAGCATGATGAATCTTCTGTTGGATAAACACTGGACTGGGAACCACAAGGTCAACGGTTGAGGTGCCATGAATTGGGGTGGACTTGATAGCAGCTAACAGTGACAACAGACTAGAACTTCAAACTCCAATACGGAAATTTTAAACCACAGGTATCCTCACACCTCAAAAGAAAGCAACACAGTTTAGGATGACCTGCTAGGTTAAAACTGTTGTTATTAAGTGCTGTTGAGTTGGTTCTGACCCATAGCAACCCTGTATAGGGTTTCTGAGAAGCAACTGGTGAATTCAAATCACTGACCTTGTGGTCTAGTGCATTATCCCACACTAGCGCCACACCAGGACTCTCTAGGTTAAAATAGCTAAGTGTTTATCCAAAAAGAAATAACAAAACACTAATCTCCCCTATGGACTCCTGGTGTGGCACTATAGGATCAGTACTGGACTGAGAATCACCAGGTTGGCTGTTCAAGCCCACCACCTCAGAAGCCCTATACAGGGATACTATAAGCTAGAACTGACTCAATGGCACTTAATAACAACAACAAATCTCCCCTGTACTTAACTCTGACTGTTTGTCCAGACATACTTCCTCCTGTGTTCAATAAAGACTAACCTTTCAGATAAGTGTCAGAGGAAATTGCTTATAGTGTGATTTGAAGAACACCCGTGAAGCTTTTGTTCCACTGTATTTCTCTGAGTGGTGCCTGAAATTCCATCATAAAAATTCATTCCTCTTTTAAATTTCAAATAATCCCAGGCGAGATGACAGCTAATATATATGTGCATATATATATTACAGTGTTGTGCTTATAAAATGCTCATTAAATATTATTGAGTTACTTTATTTTATTATTCCTGAAGGGCTAGGACTAAATAAATGTACTGGATATTTAAGAAGTGGGTACACAAAAAGGGGACTAAGGAGGATCTGGAATCTAAACAGGGAGAGAACAGCAGAATTTACTGTCTCTTACAAAGGGGTCAGCACCATATGCTGGGAATACATTGCCTGGAAGACACCAGGAAGCTGAGTTTCTTCAAAGTGGTGGTGGTGGTGATTGTGTGCCATCAATTCGGGTCTGACTCTTAGCAACCCTGTATAGTGTTTCTGAGGCTGTGAATCTTTACAGAAGAAAGCATATCTTTCTCCCACAGAGTAATTATAGATCACTGCTGACCTTGTGGGCAGGGTAGAGGTGGCAGGGGGAGAGAGTGTTCTCAAATTGATACCTTTGCTTTAGAGATGTCTTTTGCAGCAGATTTGCCCATGCAATACATTGTTTGATTTCTTGACTGCTGCTTTTATGAGCTTTGGTTGTAGATTCTAGTAAAATTAAATCCTTGACAATTTCAGTATTTTTTCCATTTATTATTAAGCTGTGTACTGCAGTGTTTAGTTGTGAGGATTTTTCTCTGTCTACATTGAGATTTACTGCTTACTGAAGGCTGTAGTCTTTGATCTTCATCAGTAAGTGCTTCAGGTCCTGTTCACTTTCAGCAAGCAAGGTTGTATCATCTGCATATTGCAGTTTGTAATCTCCAGTCTTTTTTTTTTTTTTTTGAGTCTCCAACCTTTGATGCTGCATTCTTCTTCATATGGCCCAGTTTCTCAGGTTATATGCTCAGCATACAGATTAAAGAAGTATGGTAAAAGAATACAAGCCTGATGCATACCTTTCTTGATTTTAAAACATGCAGTATTCCTATGTTCTGAGTGACTGTCTTTGGTCAATGTATAGGTGCCACATGAGTACAACTGAGTGTTCTGTAATTTCCATTCTTCACAGTATAATCCAATAATTTGTATGTTACAGTATCTACAAGTATTGAGCTTCTTGTGAGCCAGCATCAAATTCACTTAAGTTAATTCATTGTTGTTTGTTTGTTTATTGTTACTCATATAAGAAACTTTTCTTGAACAGCCAGTATGTTCTGGGGTTATAGAAATGAAAAAGACATAATTATTTGTAAAAGTTTACAGTGTAGAAGGAGAAACAATCCTGTAAGCACATAATTTCACGGCCAAATAAAGTTTAAAATGGAGGCATCCATTACCTTCCAAGAAAAGTTACATAGCTTGCTTGGATGGGGCAAAGAAAATTACGTAGAGGAGATGCTGCATCACAAACTTTTGGCAGAGTATGCCCTATAAAGGCTTGTTGAATTAGATTGAGTTGAATTGCATGAGCTGGCCATAGTCTTAATAAAATTTCCTTCAAGGTTATACTGGTATTTTCCTGATGCAAACATATCTTCAATGTAAGTATGGACAAAATGGGGGAAGTAGGCCTTGATTTACATAAATACTTAACATATAAACTGTCAATAACATATGTTTCTTTAAAAAGTTATGCCATAAATATAATGCTTCCTTATTATTTGAGTCTGTTTATTTTATCTTGAATAGGTAATACATATAACATACCAATTCGTTTGTGGATTTTGGATTCTCACCCTTTTGCTCCACCCATTTGCTTCTTGAAGCCAACTGCAAATATGGGAATCTCAGTCGGAAAACATGTGGATGCTCAAGGCAGAATATACTTGCCATATCTCCAAAACTGGAGCCATGTAAGATCAGTTTGGATTTTTAAAGATTTTTTTCATTTTTCCACATACTTATCTTTGATCCTGATGCTACAAACAAGTAAAATACTGCGTTTTATTTCAATGATAGTGATTATGTGGTCTTCTAAGGTCATTTAGAGTCCTGATGTGGTGCTGTAGAATAAGCTGTGAACCACAAGGTCTGTTTGAGCTGCAAGGTTGGTAGTTTACACTCACTAGCTGCTCCTTGGAAACCCTTTATAAGGTCGCAATAAGTCTGGATCGACTTGATGGCACTTAACAACACCGCCACTAAGAACAAGGTCATATGAAATTCAGAGGGAGGTAGGGGATCATACCTTGTGGAGATAATAATAATTCTACAGTACCTTGAGTGTAAGGTTTATATGATAAACTAGTTAAGATAAATTTTCATTTAAAGTATGTATGTTGTTGTTGTGTGCCATGGAGTCAGTTCCAACTCATAGCAACCCTGTACAGGGTTTTCGAGGCTATAAATCTTTATGGGAGCAGAAAGCCTCATCTTTCTCCCTTGGAACAGCTGGTAGTTTCGAACTGCTGACCTTAAGGTTCGTGGCTTGATTTGTAACCACTATGCTATTCCTCACAAACCCTGGAATATATGTTGCAGAAAAAATTAGTATTTTGGCTTTAATTTAGTTATGATAAAATGATAAGTTATAATCACCATTTACAAACATTATACTTAATTGAGGTATGTCATTTATTTTTTATTTGCTTAAACATGTGCAAGGAGGAAAACAGATGCTTTTCTAAACTTCGGGAGAATAAGCACAATTTACATAGTGCTGCCTGAGTTAATTATAACAGGGTCAGTGAAAGGAGGCTAGATGGATTATTAACAAGCCTGATGAGTGAATTCAGTTTTGTTTTTTTTTACAAATTTATAATGAGTAAACATTTCAGACAAGTAAAACAGATGTCCTAGACTCAAGATTAAAGTAATAAAACCACCTTAGATCTCGCAGGAAAACTTCTTGCAAACAAACTACTCACTTTTATGATAACAAGATGTATCAGTTTTTTTCTTCTCTCTAAATTTACATTAAAAGGTAATCTCCAACTCCATGCTCTGTGTTCTCAAAGGGATTTGTGTCAGCAACTTCTTCACTCAGAATTTCTCACTACCTGTCACTACTGTATTTTATTCAACAAACACTTAGTACTTCCTATGTGCCAGGCATTGTGATGCAGCAATGAACAACAACAAAAATCTCTTACTCTTGGGATTTATGTTCAGTTGGGAATTAAAAATTTGTAGCTTATGGCTGCGTGCCCTTCAGTCAGCTCCAACTCAAAATGAGTTTCAAATTATTTTACCACACTATCCTGTAAGGGCTCCTGGTGTAATGCTATAAGATAAACACGGGACTGTGAACCATAAGGAGAGCCTAAACCATTTGCATCCAGGAACTAAGTGTGATGAATAGTGCATGATATAAACTTGCCATTTTAGAAAGACAAATGGTAACCTTATTTTAATTTTCAGTTCTTCAGTTATGTGAGAAATGAAAATCCTTTTCATATATTTCCAACTATGTGTTTTTCTTGAATTGTCTGCTTATATCCTTCATCCATTTTTATCTTTTGTTTTTCTAATCCTCCTCAAACAATGGTTTGACAATGTGCCCTAACATGGGATCATATTTTCTGAGTGTTTCTTTTCTTTTGGTTTTCTTTGGCATCTCTGTTCGTTGTTTGGTTGTTTAATAAGTAATCAAAGCTAGTCCTGTAATCTAGTTGAGGTGTGCTTGACTGCATCTCAGCTAGTATTGATTTAATTTTATTATTCTGAGCTTCTTTATTATATGATAAACTCGGTTTTAAGAAGACACTGTTGTTTGAATTGCCCTATTTAAAGGTACCACAGAACCTCTAAGTTACACATGCAGGTGGAATTATAATTATGTTGCATAATTATATGTAGTGTAATTATATAGAATTTTAGAGCAGGAAGGAATGTCAAGGTCATCTAGGCTAGGGGTTGCAGATTATTTCCCCAAGACATTGAAATAGCTGCATTGGACCTACAACATTTTGTTTTGTAGTGGTTTGGTTTTGTTTTTTATACGATTTGAATGCCTATAGTCATGTCCTTTCCAATTTGCCACAGTAAACATTTCTGCAAGTTTTCTTAGACTTGACAGCTTTGCACATGTATGTTTTTGCATGGTCCCTGAAGGTCTTTGAGTCTTGTAATCCTAATGCTCCTGTTTCTTGTGTGTCTTCCGCAGCCTAAATCTGTTATTGTTGGATTAATTAAAGAAATGATTGCCAAGTTTCAGGATGAGCTTCCCCTGTATTCTCAGTCATCATCTGATGAGGCTTGGCAGGTAGACTTGCTAGCCTATATTGCAAAGCTCACTGAAGGTTTGTATTTTTGTCAGTTAGATTGCCTTGAGAGTTATCATGTTACATTTCTCACTGAAGTTTTTTAATTTCTGCTACTTGCTTTCTAATTCAGCTCCACAAATAAATGTCTGTTGTATGTGTAAGATAAAAAATTACTGAATATCTGCCATAGGACAGTGTTAGTTAGCATCAGTTCCAGCGACTATGACTGCCCAATATGTAAAAGAAGTTATTCTTATACAAATAGGTAAAATAATTCTTATTTTGTTCTATTAAAAAAAAAAAATCCAGTTAACATTGTGCTGATTGTGTCTCATGGCAGCCCCATGTGTTTCAGAGTACAAGTGCTCTGCATGAGGGATTTTCATGATTAGGGCTTTAAGAAGCAGATTGGTGAGCATTTCTTTTGAAGCATTTCTGAGTGCGTTTGAACTGCCAACTTTTCAGTTGGTAGACTAGTATTTAACTGTTTGTGTCACCAGGGACTCTTGTTGTAAATCATTTACTATATATGAATCACAAGCCTTTTTCATAATCTGTTCATGTGGCCTGTTGACTCATTCAGTATATTGGACCAGGAGATCTGTGATTCTTAATGTTTCTCATTGAGGATTAAGCCAAGTAAGTACACAGGCTTGAAAAAATATATTTATTTATTTATTTAGCATTGTATACCAGAGCAATAAAAATCAGAATTTTTTTTAGAATTATGGAAATCTTATTTTTTTATTTAAAAAAATTATACTTTGACATCTTTTAGAGTTTTATTGATAATTTAAAAATATTTGGAAAATTTTTTTTAAAATTACTATTTAGTGGAATACTTAATAAGAAATTGTAGACTTCAAAATTTAGACTCTCTGTTTCTCTTGCATGCATGCATTCATTCATTTTCTTTAACAAAATTTTTGAGTCCCTATTATAGACTGGCTGTACAGGGTCGCTATGGGTCAGATCCGACTCGATGGCACTTAACAACAACAACAATTATAGACTGGAGTCCTGGTGTGGCGCTGTGGGCTAATGTGTCAGACTGCAAAGTCAATTGGAACTGCAAGCAAGGTTGGCTGTTCAAGCTCACCAGCTGCTCCTCAGAAACCCTATATAGAGTCTCTATGGGTCAGAATCGACTCGGCGTCACTTAACAACAACAACAGTATAGACGAAGGAGCTCTGGTAGCGTAGTGGTTACAAGTCGGGCTGCCAACCTCAAGGTCAGCAGTTTGAAACTACCAGCAGTTCCATGGGAGAAAGATGAAGCATTCTGCTCCCATAAAGATTTACAGCTTCGGAAACCCTGTGCAGGGTCACTATGAATCGGAACTGGCTCCACGGTACTTAACATTATAGATTGGGGAGTTCTGGTGTGGCGCTGTGGGTTAATGTGCTGGACTGCAAAGTCGGTTTGAACTGTGAGCTTGGTAGTTCAAGCCCACCAGCTGCTCCTGGGAAATCCTATACAGGGTTGCTATGGGTCAGAACCGACTTGACGGCACTTAACAACAACATTATGGACTGGAGCCCTGGTGTGTCGCTTTAGGATAAGCACTTGACTGAAAGTCGGTTTAAACCATAAGGTTGGCTATTCAAACTCATGAGCCACTGCTCAGAAACGCTATACAGAGTCCCTTTGGGTCAGATTGAGTCAGCAGCATTTAACAATTACAGATTGGAAGGAACCCTGGTGGTGCAGTGATTAGGTGTTCAGCTGCTGACATAAAGATCAGTGGTTTAAATTCATCAGCTGCTCTGAGGGAAAACTATGTAACAGTCTGCTTCCATAAAGATTTACAGCTTTGGAAATCCCATGGAGTAATTCTCTGTCCTATAGAGTCAATATTAATTAGAATAGACTTGACAGCAAGTGGTTTTTAATATGCACTGTAGTTCTTGGGTGATGCAAATGGTTAACCAAAAGCTTAGAGCTTCGACTCTACCAGAGACGCCTTTGAAGAAAGGTCTGGTGATCTACTTCTGAAATAATAGCCTTTGAAGGCCATGTGGAACACAGTTCTTGTCTGACACACATGGGGCCAGGGGCGACTGGATTGAAACTGGTTGTTGACTAGCATTGTGTTTTCATTATAGGTTATCAAAGCCTAGTGTATTTTTTTAAAAGATGCTAAAATGAATTTTGAGAGTACTTTAAAATTCTCAAGACAACCCACTTTAATTTCTAGGTGTTTCAGAAATAAATTCAAGAAGCTGGACAAATCATGAGACTAAAACACTTAATAAAATTACCGTCGTTGGAGGTGGAGAATTGGGTATTGCCTGTACATTAGCAATTTCAGCAAAGGTATGTAAACTTGATGAATATAAAATACACCTACTTCTCACTTAGCGACTATCTTGTTATCCAACATTTCACATTTACGGCAGTAGTAAAAACTATATTCAACTGTATTCCGCATTGTCGATGTACATCTGTGATTACAGATGCCAAGGTGTGAGGTGAGAGTAATGTTGGCTGTGATGGTTGACTTGGCTGGGCCATGATCCTCAATGATTTGGCAGTTATGTAGTAATGGTATCTGACAGTTAAATAATAATATAATTTGGCAGTTAAGGAATGATGTAGTCATCCTCCGTTTTTTGATCTGATGTGGTCATCCTCTGTTTTTGCATCTTGCCAGTTTTTGGTTTTGGAGCCTTAACCATGTCAGTAGGAGTTGGGTGTACATCTTTCATAGTGTGTACTTTCAGGCAGTTTGTGTGGGCACTCAAGAAGTGATGGCTTCATTTATTTCATGTAGGAAAACCTCATTTTTCTTACATCTAGTAAGTTGACAAAAAGCTCTCATTAATGATGTTGCCTCTTAATTAGTAGTAATTAGTAATCATGGAATAGATTTTGAGAAAATATAATGGGCTCCTTACTTTATTCTGAGGGAAATCTCAAATTGACATTCATGTGAGTTAGTCACACAACCTCTTGTGTGCTTTCTGAGTCATTCTGCTTTAATTAAACTCTTACTTAATATAATTCTTATTTAACTTTAGCTTCTTCTGAAATTGGCATCTTTTGAAAAGGATTGACTTTTATAAGATAGTAGTTGCTAAGCTGAAATTTCACACTAGTTTGGGATTTATTTATTGATCTTGGTTAGTCCATTTCACTAGATCTTCAGTATATAAATTATTTGCAGAACGACTTAAATCCCCATCTATATAGGTTTAAAAGTTTTGCCTACTTTCTTGAGAGCACGGTATCATAGCAACAGCATGCTTTATGTCAAGTAAGGATGTAGCCCAGAATAGGTTAGCTGATCCTCTGTATATTTATTTGGTAGCTGGCATTAGTTTGTTCTATCTACATTCTTTCCTTTCCATTTAACACTTGCGTGTATCTTGGAGACAGGTTCACTTCAGTAAATAAATTATGTCCAAAGAACTACAAAATTTAAAAAACTGACTATTCAGAACAATATTTACTAACTTTTGTCATTTATTTCCTCCATCCTCCACCTGAACACACATTCCCTTTAAAACTGGAACTTGAATTGTTTTTAGTTATTTTGTTGCTAAATAAACTGCTTTAGTAAATATCACTTTGCAAGTTGCTTGTTTTCACTGAATTGTTTTCTTTGGCGGATATATGCACTCAAAAATAGTACTAGTGAGTCAGAAGACGGGAATGATCTTTATGGCACTTATTACATACTGCTAGATTGCTTTTTAGAGAAACAGAACTAATTTATGTTGCTAAAAATAATGTGCTCCTGGACCTACTTTTGGCATCCCTACCTATGCCGGATCAGTAGGCAATATGAAAAATGGAGAAAATCCTGAAGTTGTCAAGGATTTCATTTTACTGGGATCCATAATCAATGCCCTTGGGGGCAGCAGTCAGGAAATATAAAACATCATTTTGCATTGGGCAAGTTTGTTCAAAGACCTCTCTAAAGTGTTAAAAAGCAAAATTGTCACCTAGAGAACCAAGATACACCTGATCCAAGCCATGATATTTTCATTCGGCTCTTGGCATGAGAAAGCAGCACAGTGAACAAGGAAGAACAAAAATGAATTGATACCTTTGATTTTTTTATGTTTTATGTTTTATTGTGAATTGTGTGATAGTTTACATGGGAGAACATTAGTTTTACATTCATTCGATCATACATCTTTTCATTGCCATAGTTACCATCCCATCCATGTATCATCACCCAACCAAAAGGTATACCCTGCAAGCCTGCCCCCCACCCCCAACAGTCCTCAGCCTCTTTCCCTCTCTGGATCCCAAGTCCCCAGCCACTTTATCTCTTCACGTCATCTTCTCTGCCTCCATCATCCTCACTGCTTCTCTGAGTACAGTCCCTCTCTCCGCTCTTCTCCATTAATGGTCTGAGGGCCCTCCGCTCCTAGGCTGAAAAGTTTATCACTCCCCTCCTTGCTATAAAATGTCCACCTTTACATTTCCAATCCTCACAATCAGTCCTGATAA